GCCGGCCTTGCAGCTCCACTGCCGAGCCCCATGAGGGGCCGGCGGTGGACCTGCAAGGCCGGCGGGAGTGCAAGGAAGCCCCGTGAAGGCCCTCCCTGGCCCCAGGCAGGCAGGGGTGGGGAGAGGCAGGGAGGAAGCAACTTACCCTCCCTCTTCTCCTGCCTCCTCCTGGCTGAATGAGGGCTGGAAGCGGGGCGGCCAGAAGCAGGGGGCGGGGCTTCATCATGTGCCCCACCCCCCATACCTCACCCGGGGGAACTGTGATCCCCCGCGACCCCCCCCAAAATGACCTCTGAGAAAAAGGGATCTATAGAATGAGAGATCTTTATGTAGATGGGACTCCCTTTAATGTGATGCAATTAAAAGAAAGATTGCAAGGAGAGTTAAATTGATTTTCGCTATATCAGCTGCATTATCTAACTGTAAACTCTATGGTAAGGCAAACCATGACTAGAAAGCTGTTGAACTTTGAACAGATTTTAACACAACACATGACAAGTCTAAAAGAAGTAACCTCTAAAATATTTATTTAATTGAGACAGATTCAGGTTCACTAACTGGGTTGAAAATAACATGGGAGAAAGATATCAGAATAAAGTTCGAGCAAAATATTTGGAATAAGATATGGTTTACCCAAACAAGAAAAACTATATCAATAACTCTTAGAGAAAACTCCTTTAAATTATTACACAGGTGGTATTTCACCCCCGTTTGCCTTGCAAGACTAACCAACACAAATAATAAAAAATGCTGAAGAAAGTATAATCAGCAAGGTGATTACATTCATTTGTAGTGGCTATGCCCAGCAGTGTCACAGTTCTGTGAGAATTTTTTTGCAGAAATGGCAAAAATTACACATCAAAGCATCTGTGTAACACCAGCTTTGGCCCTACTAATAATATGGGAGAAACAAAATGAAAAGGTGGCTTCTAAAGGACTAATAGTGTTTATGTTAATGGCAGCGCGCAAGACAGTTGCTAAAAGTTGGAAAGCCGCAGAACTATTAACATGGTATTCTGAGTTAGGGCAGATTGCAATAGCTGAAAAATTAACAAGTCAAATTAGAATAATCAAATCCAACGCCAAAACTGTAGACTTTTTTGAAACGTGGCATGATTTTATTTCATATACAACTCAGAGCAATACTCAAATATGTTTAAGCTCTTCCTCAGATTATGGGATAAAGCTAAGTAAGCCTCTCTCTCTATTTTAATCATGTTGTAACTATAATTATTCATGTTTATAGGAGGAAAAAGAAGAAGAAAAAGAGAAAAGCATTCCTTCTCTTTGTATTCCAATCCAATCCAAAGCCTTTTATTGGCATATAAATAAAAATACAGTAATCTAAGTACACACAGAGTCAAATTAAAATTGCCGAGTAACATCACAGAGTATCATCATAAAGAAAAACCTAATTCATCATATCATTTATCAGGCCGTAGGGCCATGACACTGCAGAGAAACTTTGCTGTTATTTCAGTTATTTCTGTGTCTGTGTTATCGAGCAAGAAAAGAAGCTTAAAATCATCAGGGGACTCTAAAAAATGGCCTAATATGGGATATAGCATAACTCATTAGCATATGCCACACCCCCTGACATCACTGGAAGTGTGTCATAAGGCCACACCCCCTGACATCACCGGAAGTGTGTCATAAGGCCACACACCCCGCCCCCAACGGTCCCGGCAACATCGAGGCAGCTCTAGTGCGAAATCAGCCCTGGTTACACCTGACCTTCCCCTGTTTTTTAAATAGAATCTTTTGTTCTGTTTGACTTTTTCATCGTCTCAAGTGCTATTTGAAGGAGTTCAGCCCAAGAGGACTCCTTGTTCTTCCCTTGGCTACCAGGGCTGGGCTAAATGATAAATTATATCTCTGTGACAGGGTGGGACAGACAGTCTTTGAATGACAACAAAGAAAACCACGTTACTTGGGGCAGCTCAGTCACAGAAGGGAACAAAATTTGGGAGGGTAAATCTACCTCTGAGGGAGGGAAGTGTGAGTGTCTGTCATAGCAGGTGTGTAAGGGAAGACATTTTGAGGCACTGGGCCAGCATCCCTTAATTCCATCTCAAAGAGATCTCCCTGGAAAACCAGTTGGAGACCAGTGCTTAAGCTGCAACAAGAGATGCTCCCTTGCCTAAGGTTACAGCTTATAATAGGTTACAGCTTAATCCCTTCCCTCAAGTCAAATACATGTCAAGCCGGGGCTAGGCGAGGAATGCACAGGAACGGAGTTCCGGCTGGCTCCCAAGTTGGCCACACCCAGCAGGAACTCATTAGCATAATGGACCACACCCAACAGGAGGAACTCATTAGGATTGGCTACATTAGGGGTATGTGGCCTAACATGCAAAGGAGTTCCTTCTACAAAAAAGCCCTGGGTTTTGACAACAAACAAGGTAAACAGAATAAGCAGCAAAAGGTGGGTGTGGCTGGATGACCACACTTCTGGTAACGTGGGGGTGCGGCCTAATGTGCTAATGAGCTGTGCTGTCAGGGGTGTGGCCCAATATGCTAATATGTTCCTGCTGTTGGGTGTGGCCTATTATGCTAATGAGTTCCTGCTGGGCTTTTTCTACAAAAAGAGCCCTGCATGTCATTGAAGATGGTTTTGTGTTGTGCTTTGCAGACCCTCGCCAAGGTCTTGGATAAAGTGGCCCCTGCCTTTCTCATGAGCAGCTGCAACTTCCTGGTGGAGAAGTCCCGTGAAGCCACAGCACGGGTGGTGGTATGGCGTGAAATCGGTGTGTTGAGAAGCTACACCATGGAGAGCACCTTCTGCGGTTGCAGCCACGGCCTCTATAAGGTATGTGGCATTTTCTAAGAGGCTGCTCATTTACAACGCATTTCCTGTGGGTTGATTGTGGGGAGTTTGAGAAGTGCTGCTTGCTCATGCAAGCTTTCCTGTGCCCCATATCGTACTAGCCTCTACTGCAAAGCAAAATCGGTTGTTCTAAGTGTGAAGAGCATGGTGCCACTACCGAAAATGGCATCTCTGTGTTGGGTTGTTCCTCATCTCCCTGCATTTTACAGTGAAGGAAATGTGACATAATGCCATTGAACCATGCATTCTTCCCCACTCTCAGCAGCAGCAGCAGAGAATGAGACGAGGTGGGGGAAAGTGTAACCTATCCTGCCATGTGCTTCCAGTGCTGTACATTACAGGGGTACCGGAGGGGCCAACTGAGAGATGGCGTTGCAGTTTATGACATGCAGACCTCAGCTCTCAGTCGTGTTTTGTTCATCCCTGAGTCTGTTGCTGCTGTGCTAAGTGTGGGAATGTTGCAGAGCCTTCCACTGTGCAGACGTGTCATGGACAAACCACGTCAGTACAAAAGGGGACTTTGGAAAGACCCAAACAGATCTCTGAACTTCTCTAAAGTTGTTTTTTTTTTGGTGTCCATATGTTCTTCGTTGCTGCTCCAGATTTTCCTTTCTTCTTCCTGATGGTTACTTTACTACAACCAATCAGGGATCACATACCCAGAATAATTGTATAATAATAATAATATACTTTATTGTCATTGTACATAGCACAATGAAATTAAAGATGCAATCATTTCGGTGATCTACAACAATATTCATATACACTCACACACCATTCACTACTGTCCCATAACTCCCTTGTGGTTCACATAGCAACTTAAACCACCAATGTCACCCAAATTCCAATTTCATACTGCATTTAAGGCAATAATAGCTCTCGAATAAAAACTATTTTTTAATCTATTTGTCCTTGCTTTAATTGTCCTATATCTTCTGCCCGAAGGCAGCAGTTCAAACAGGGAATGTTCAGGATGTGACAAATCCTGCAAGATGTTCTTTGCAGTATAGTGGTTTGAGTGTCGGAATAAGGTGGGGGAGAGGGAACTCCCTTCTTAGCCACACTTCTCACTGGGTGAACTTGGTCCAGTCACCCTCTCTCTCTCTCAATCTAACCTACCTTATATTGTTGTTAGGAGGATAAAATGGTGGATGGGAGACCCATGTAGTCTCACCTAGTCTCTTTGGAGAAAGAGCAGGATAAAAAAAATGTGATTGAGACAGAGAGGGTGATGACATCAGAGTGCCACATGGCCAGCCATTCAGACATCACCAGGGGCAAACAAAACCTTCAAGCTCCCTTGCTTTGAATGGAGAGGAGAAGGTGGAGCCTGTTCAGTTGCCAAGATGACTTACAGTGCAACCCTAAGGAGCACTGCAACTTTCTAAGTCCATTGAAGCCCATAGCCCTTAATGTCCAGGGTCCAGCCTACCTGAGGGACCGCCTTTCTCCATAAGTTCCCCCAAGGGCACTTCGGTCAGGAGGGCGTCATCTCCTGGAAATTCCAGGCCAGAGAGAAGTTAAATTTGCAGTGACCAGGACTAGGGCATTTTCGGTGGCGGCTCCTACCTGGTGGAAGGAGCTCCCGGAGGAGATCCGGGCCCTGTGGGACCTTTCTCAGTTTCGCGGGGCCTGCAAGACGGAGCTCTTCCGCCAGGCTTTTGAGTAGGGGCCGCCGCCACCGCTATTCCACCTGTATCTCCTATACCCTGGCGTACTAACATCTGATTGCCTGGCCCCAAGGGTGGAGTGAGGTGCTTGGACACGCCTCTGAGGACAAGATCGTAGGACGTAGCTATGTGAGGTTAAGATCTCCCCTTCTTGCTTAAATTTGTTGTAATTTGTTATGATATTTTATTGTAATTTATTGTTTTTAAACTATATGTTATTGTTTTAACCCGGCACACAGTGCCCTTGTTAGCTGCCCTGAGCCTTCGGGGTAGGGCGGGATGTAAATGTAAATGTAAATATAAATAAATAAATAAATAGCCTTAGAATGGGGTGACTCTGCTTAGGACGGCATCGTCAGCTTGCCTGCCGTACACTGCTTGGGTGGCTTCGTTCCCTGTGCCCCCCAGCAAATACTTCCACATCCTTTCTCCCTGGCAAGTCATTCCAAAAGAATGGGTCTCAAAGACACTTATGAAATCCCTTCCTCCAATTTGGCTCTGCTCTAGGAAAAATTGTGTCTCCTGTATCAATAATTAAGAGGCAGTAGTAGAGACGGTCTAAGACAGGGGTCCACAACCTTTTTGAGCCTGTGCACACCTGTGGAATTCTGACACCGGGTGGTGGGTGCAACCATTAAACGGCAACCATAGGAGATGACGCCAACCACAAAAGGGCTGTCCGTAGGGGGCAGAGCCAACTACAAAATGTTAGGTAGTGAGGTTATGTGTAACTGCAATAGTAACTTCCCAACATTTCAGGGAGACACTCTGTTTAACGGGATACTTTTGCTCTGCACAGGCAAAAGCCACACCTGGTCTCCTCCGCTTTCTAAAAGCACATGGTGGGCACCAGAAAAGGTGTTGGTGAGGGCCATGGTGCCCACATATGCCACATTGGGCACCCTTTGTCTAAAACACTGTGATTCTTGTGGCAGTTAATCCATAATGGTTAAAAAAATTAGTAATCTCAATAGTTCACACTTTAGTGATGCCTCAAATTGTACATTGAACCCCACTCACCAGTAGGGGCTTGCCTTGTGAAAGGTCTCCTTGCCCTCTAAAAAGCCACACTGTGGAACCTGCACCGAGGAGAAAAGAATCGAGCCCAAAGAATAAATGTTTTGCTGGTTACATTAACAAGGAGCACTTGTAATTTAATTAAAACCAAATCTCCAACTGTCAGAAGGGCAAACATTAGTCCCTGAAAACATATTCCGTTCATTCTTCTTATTAAATTAAATGGGCTGGCTTCAGCTAGACATTCTCCTTTCTCTGGAATAAATTGACTCTGACTTTCCTTCGTGTGTGGTGGTGTGCTGGCTCCGATTGCCAGCTGCTCACCCCCAAGAAAAGACTTGGGTCTAACATGGTTGTTCATTTATTTTTTGCTTCTGAGTAATAATGAGTCCCAGCCAGTGTTCCCTCTAAGCTGAGTTGGTGTGAGCTAGCTCACAGTTTTTTAGCCATCAGCTCACGGGTTTTTGTCTTAGCTCAGGAAGGATGGCTCTAGACAGGGGTCATTGCGTAGAAAAAGAGGTGCAGGAGCTCATTAGCATAACTCATTAGCACAACTCATTTGCATATACCACACCCCCTGATATCACCGGAAGTGTGTCAGAAGGCAACACCCACCGCTCAGGCTCCACTGTACTGTTTTGGATTGCTAGCTATTGGGGGGGGGAATGTGCAGATCTGTCCCCCACAGAGGAGGGAGAGCTTGTACCTGAATAAAACCTGGTCTTAAAGGTGCCACTGGACTGTTTTGGACCGGGGGGCCCCCTCCGCAGCTTACTGTTTTGGATGGGGGGGGCTCTGCAGCTTACGTGGCTGCTTCTTGCTCTGACTGAGGGCTTCTGGGAGCAGGGGGTGGGGCTTATTGCATGTGCCTGCCCCCTGGGCTCTTTACTGCCGGAGCTCCGCTCCTGTGCGCTCCTGCAGGAAATGAGCCCTGGCTCTAGAGCAAACTGATTTATGCAGTAGCCAAATCGCTCGCTCACAACTTTAATGCCAGTAGCTCACGAAGTAGAACTTTTGCTCACAAGACTCCACAGCTTAGAGGGAGCATTGGTCCCAGCTGGTCTTCTACCTAGGATTGTCCAGGACCAACCCTGTTTAACTTGAGCATCAGAACCACTGTTGTGAGTCGCTCAGGGGAATCTGGTCTTGTTGAGCCTCTGGGCACTGGAAATTCCCCCCCCCCCAACCCTCACAGAATTGCTGCTGTGGGGGGCGAGCAATCAGAAAATGGTGGAAGGTTTCACAAAATATCTGAAATTCTAAGCTGAACATCTTAGCATGATGGATACATTTCCAAATGGGCATTCCCCATTGCAGACCCAAAGGTGGTGCCTCTTGGGGCCTTCAAAAATACCTCCTGGTCCGAAGAGGTGGAGGAGAGCCAGGATTGAGTCTTTGCCTTGGGGGAGAAGCAAGTGGGCACCAGCAAACATACTGGTGGGCACCATGTTGCGATTGTGCCAGACAATTGCCAGGGACATCCTCTGGGTCAAATAATTTAGCTAGGTGGCTGGTCCCAGTTGTAGGGCTAAGCCCAAGGGTTACTTACAGTATTTTGATTAGGGTATTCCTACCTGATACCCTCCTCAACACACAGGTTGGGATTTTGGTTCATGTCTTACAAGACCAGGGGTTGAGTGATGGAAGGCCACACTGTACATCTCTTGGTCCGTTTGTCTGCACCAACCAAGTGAAGATGAAGAATGAGTGAATGTTCTCAGTTTTATTAATTTTATATTGATCTGTTTTTGGTCTCAGTCTCAATCCACCATGGAGGCCTTGAGTGGAAAGCTGAGTGTGTGTATGGAAATGTTTTATTTATTTATACTATTTATTTATTTATTTGGTTTATATACCCAACTCAGGGTGGTTTACATCACATTTTAATAAATACAGTTAAAACACTTTAAAACACCATTATAAAAAACAGAATAAGAACATAAGAACATAACATAAGAACATAAGAGACGCCAATGTTGGATCAGGCCAAAGGCCCATCCAGTCCAACACTCTGTCACACAGTGGCCAAAAATACCAGGTGCCATCAGGAGGTCCACCAGTGGGGCCAGGACATTAGAAGCCCTCCCACTGTTGCCCCCCCCCAAGCACCAAGAAGACAGAGCATCACTTGCCCCAGAGCCCCTATCTATACCTTGTGGCTAATAGCCACTGATGGACCTCTGCTCCATATGCCTGTCTAATTCCCTTTTGAAGCCGTCCATGCTTGTAGCCGCCACCACTTCCTGTGGCATTGAATTCCATGTGTGAATCACTCTTTGGGTGAAGAAGTACTTC